TCCACAATAAAGGTAAATGTATGTAGTATTTCTTACTTAAGTGCAAGCTCCCATGCCCTATCAGATAATTAAAATCTTGGCTCTGTTCAGCTCTGATAGACCTTTTTTAAAGCCGACATTTTGGGTTGTCGGAGGCCGAAAATTAAAGTGAAATTAATAACGTTTGTTAGCATTCGAGCTGACTCAGTTCTATTAACTGTCCCATTAAGTCAGGATCATGAACCAGCTCGCTCAGTGAAAAGAGCTCTTATTACTGGAAAGCGACCATCTTTGATGGCACTTCTGTTCTCATGAAAAATGGTCCTTCATCAACATTTAAGATAATTGTATTGTTTGGAATTAAATAAAAATACTAAAGAGTGGACATGGACAGTTTTATTGTGTGTTCTGAAGACAAAGCGCATTTTTGGGATTTCTCTCTCGTATTTACGTTAAGATTATAGGGTACTGAACAAACGGCTTGTCTTAAAAATAATATGTAATCATCCATTTTGACCAAACAAGAACAATCTCTTGTATTAAACTGGGAGTGAACATTCAATAGCAAATAACAAATACGTTGTGAAAATGGGGATGCTAACCTCTTCGAGATTAAGGCATTGTTAAATAACTGGAAACAAACCCATAAGGAATAAGAAAATAAAACGGAGGAGCAATCAAACAATGAATAAAACTAATGACGGCGCTGAACAAATGGTTTAAGGCAGTTACGGATAAAAAGAAAATTACCAGTGATGGCATCACATAACTTTTTCCTTTTCTTCCTTAGGCAGATGAGTAAAGTCTTATCTGTTCTACGAAATTAATGAAGATCCGCACACAAGCCAACAGGGATGGTTACAAAAAGCATAAGTCATTTTAATTATGGTGAATGTACAATGAATTGACACCAAGTCCAATGTATATAAAGGTTTTGGTATTGTCTTTGATAGGCTGTTAATTAGGTATAACGATCAACAGCCATAGTCGTATCAGGGATTACATTTAAATAATAGGCACGTGCTTTAACTCATTTTTTCTTCTGAATGAAATATCTCACAAAACATAAAAGACCTGTGGCTATTAAAATGCCGTGCCAGTATGTCTCTATTCAGAGTGTGGACCTGATCACTTAAAAGAATGGCTATAACGCTGTCAGTTTGACCAATCCTGAGATAAAATTTGGTATGGTAGCAGCTGAGTGTCACACCCATTGTATATTCTTAATGCTAACACATAGTGAAAAATGTTTGCCTAAAGCTTTTATATATGCGTTTGAGTAAACCTTGACTTTTTATAAGCAAAAGATCTCATTAACCACTGGACACATTTTAATGAACGTTTCGTAAGGTAATCTTTTTATGTACATCTAAAACTGCTTAACTTTTAGAGCCAATGGTACTACCGATGAATTAGCACCGACTCTGTAACGATTCTGGCTATACCACGATTTAAGGACCAATGAGAACAGAGACCAAGACTCAGAATGAAATTACAGTGTTTATTTACAAGTTGGAAAAAGTGCAATAAGCCAGGGAGGGGACTGGAACCCTGAGGAATAAAGAGTTGGTTAGAGTTCTTGTAGTCAAGGGTGACAATATTATTGCTGATTCTCTTTACAATGGAGGTTGAGGTCAGATGTGGGGAGGGTTGACCCAAATGGTTCCAAGCGAAGGAGGTGTACGTCTGAAGGATGGCAGGCGTTTGGCAAGTGGTAGGAAAGCGTGGAGGCAGCCGATGAGGCACAGAGGAGCTCGAGGTCCACAGAGGAGGATTCAGGAAACGGGGACATCAAGGGTAACTCACTGGAGGCACTGAGAGAAATGCAAATCATTAATACTTGGTTTTAGACACGAGTCAAAGGCTAGAACAAGACTACCATTGGGAGGTAATGCTCCAGTGCTGGCTGAATGTCTTCTGCCGCAATTTATGCTCCTCATTCTCATCAAGTCGTTGATCCACAGGTGTAGCTGATTAGAGTCTGACTGTGGGTACAAGAGGTGGCAGAGCAGAACCACAGACTCGCTATCAAGACAGTCAGCTCTTGGAGTTACCATATTTTTTGTCTTAAAAGTCATGTTTTTTTGCATAATTTGCATGCACTGCGACTTATACGCCAAAGCGACGTATTTATGGATTTTCCTCCATATTTTAAACCAATTTTTGGCTGAGATATGATTGTTTTTATTCATTCTGACTGAAAATATTGAACACTACCATTTTCAGCTGTTAGATGGCACTCGAGTAGTATGGCATGCTATGGTGTCATGTAATAGGCAAAAAGTGGCTATTAATGACACAATCGGTTTGCCACAGCCTGCCACCTTCGTCCAGCTTGCCTGGAGCAACCGTCAAATCAGCTTCATTTCGCTGCACCGCCTTGGTGAACTGCAGCTAATTTGACCATTCAAGTGCATTTGTTAAGTAAAAGTTCAACTGAGACACATCTTTGCTATAATGTCAAGCAAACAAACAATTGTTTTAGGTGCTTGTATTGTTAAATTTCGAAGAAATGTGCAGACTTAGATCCTAAGTATATTTGCAGCCTAGTTGCAAAGTAAGGACAAGAAAGTCAGTGTTTTGAAGTAAAAATTACAATGCCCTGATCTCAGTCCCATAAAAAAAAAGGTGTCCGAGTTGTAAGGATGTTTGTGAGCAAGGTGGCCTACAAACCTGACCAATTATTTCAGGAAGAATAGAACAAAATTATAAAACATTTGACTAAAATATATTTAAAGCCAGTTATAGCAAATACTAAGCGTGATGTTAGGCTCTTTCACAAAACACCTCAATCCAAGACTTCTGGTCTTCTGACCATCACTGAATAGACCTAAGCAATGATAGGGTTAAAGTCAACCTACCCCTAATTCGCCTTTGTGCCTCTATGTGATGTAGTAACAGAACCAAAATGGTCAACATTTGAAAATATAAGCTGACTATGCAGTTCAAAAAATTGATGAACTAACTTATGGTCTGTTTAACCATTGCTGGATTGAACAACAACAAAAAGATTTATTAACAAGAGAAGATTGATGATGACACACAGCAACTTTTTAATTACCGTATTTTCTGCCATACACGTCACACCGCCCTATAAGTCGCATCGGTCCAAATATGTCTAATAAAGTGGCAAAAACCATAAATATGTCACTTGCCATATTGGTTGCATCTATCATGCACCACTGCTGACGCGTCGCGTTTGTTACGCGCCACCGCTGACAACCCGGAAACGTGGGCTGGTGTTGTGCCAAACATTGATTGGCTGCCAAATGGCGGCCACGGGAGCATGCACGGGAAGACTTTAACAAGAATTTAACAAGATTAACACTTAAAAACAATTATTTGTTGCTCGAAATTATAGCAAAGATGCGTCTCAGTTTAATTTTTCCTTAATAAATGTACTTTGACAGTCAAATAGGCTGCATTTCGCTGCGCCGCCCTGGCGAAATGCAGCCGATTTGACGTTTGCTCCAGGAGTTCCACGGCAAGACGAAGGTGGCTTTGTATGGCAAGCAAAGTGTCTCATTAATAGTCACTTTTACCTATTAATGATACACTTGGCTTGCCATATGAATCAAGGGCCCTCTAGTGGCTGAAAATGGTAGTGTTCAATATTTTCCATGTCAGAACGAATGGAATAGTTAGATTTCAACCAAAAATTGGGTTATAAATATGGGGAAAAAACAAATACGTCGCTTCACTGTATAAGGCGCAGGCATGCTAATTTATCCAAAAAACTGCTACTTACACATCAAAAATGACTGTAGTTAAAAAAAATGTAATGATTAAGAGAATTAACATACAGAATTAATTTGTCATGTTTTGAAAATACAAGGGAGACTTCGGTCACAAATCTGCCACACCGAGTTCTACTTTTGTCTCCATGATGCTGTCTTCGCTTCTCAAAACTCATGTCTATGTAGGATGAAGTCGACTCCTTCAGTAATTTCTGAACAAGCTGAGTCAATATTAAGATGAACAGTTCTTTGTGGCAATTTTCCAAAATAGTTTTGTGAAAGAGCTTTTTACAGATGGTAATAAAAAATACTATCTCAAAATTTCACTCTCTCATTTTTCAGGCATACTTCAAAAAGAAATATATTTGTGAAAGCTAAGTGACCTTAAACAAGAAAAAATTAATGGTATATATAACTATTTTTCATTACCCATTTTATAACTATGCTTTCCTTTGGGTTATTTATTTATTTTGGGGGGAACTAGGGTTCTATTAAATCTGCCATACGAATTTGTGGCTTTTGACACATATAATTTAGTACGAGCAATTATAAAAAAATGGTTCTTTCCATTGTAAAGGTTTGCAGAACCAGGTTTAGATGATTACCGACTCCCAGTTTTTAAAAGGTTTGTGCTCAACTACAGCCCAAAATCTCAAATGAGTTGAAGAGGATGTTCTGTGGACGCAGTCTCATCTACCTGCCAGCTGTGCTCGAGTGCCTGACCACTGAGATCCTGCAACTAGCAGGAAACACGGTTCATGACAGCGGAAGGACAGGATCGTCCCTCTGCACCTACAGTTGGATGTCCACAGAGACAAGGAGCTCGGCAGACTGCTGGGAGGAGTGGCCATCGCTCTGGGAGGAGTTCTACCCGTCTTTCGGGCAGTCCTAAAGCCCTGGGGAACCGAGAGGCCAGCCAAGTCTGGGTGAACGGATCGGACGGCATCTGCAGCCAGTTTCTTAGGATCCACTGTGGGATGGACCTTTACAAGAGATCCTTCCCGTCTAAAGCCATCAGTATCTATAACATCTCTTAATGAAATGATGATAACAAGTTACAACAACAAAATAATTTCCCTTTGGGATTAATAAAGTATTTTTGAATTTAATTGAATTGAATTGTTGGTATTTTGGACAATAGCTGCATTAACACACTTTAAATTTCTCTAGGTAATAATTTAGTCCTGTGGAGGGATTTGAGCTTGACATTTCTAAACTCTTCTTTAGTCGAACTGGTTTGAAGTGGTAACTTGCACTGACGGTTATTTTCCCTGCATCTCTTAGACTCCATGAGGTCCTGATGGATCTGCAGAACCTTCAGCTTCAGCAGCTAACGGACTGGTTGGATGTAACAGAGGCACGCATCAAGAGGATCGGATCTCAGCCGCTTGGTCCTGATCTCGAGGATATAAAGCACCAAGTGGAGGAACATAAGGTGGGCACGTCCTGACGAGGGCACTACAAAATGTCACGTTTAGTTGCTTAATAGGTCTGAAAGACTTTTATGAATTGAAGTTAAACACTACAAAAGAATAATTCAGGAAAACCTATTCAAACATTTGTTCTTGTACTTAGAATTCACTTCGAATCAGTTCTGAATTTGAATTTAACCTTTCGTACTACCCTCGAAGCACCAAATGGTAATTTAAAAATAACAAAAAAATAAATAGCCGAACATTAACGTTTTTGTAAAAATTAAAAAAAAGAACTCCATTTACAGGAAAAAGGTGAAAAAGAAGCTCAAGAACAGCTATTTAACTTTTTTTTTTTTGAGCTTGTAATGATCGTCAGAGACAAAACACAAACATTTATATTTCTAATTTTCACATCGCGTAACTAATTCCGACACGTTTACTGTAAATTAAAATTTTCTGTGGCCTTTTCTATGTTTAAAAAATCTGTTAGAATTTCATTGAACTATAAGTATATAATAAAATATTATCTAGTTCTTGACATATCTCAGAATTTTATAAATCTAATCTGTTTTGAATAAATACAGGCACAGTTTATTTTAATGTTGTTCATATCAGGGTGTTTTTAAAAAAGTTGGACTTGGAGTCAAACCTCGTTTTATTTATACACAGTAATCCCTTTATTCAATCGTAACTGCATAAATATTTGGAGATGTTTTCTCTCAAATTTGAGGATCTTAATTTAAAATGGAAGAATCCAAGCTTAAAATCTGGACCACTTTATTTGAGTTGTTGACCTCGTGTGCAGATCACTCTCTTTAGCATCCTTCCTGAGGTTTGTTAGATTATTGGGTTGCTGGATTGAAGGTGCGGATTACGAAGATGTGAAAGGCTGTATTGGTCTACACGAACATCTGCAAGAACCTTGGTGACAAGATGGCAGCTGTTGGAAATGCATGGGCAGAAACTGAATTTGAATCGCTCAGATTGAATCTGTATTTGCGTAATTTGAAATTAAATTGGTTTGAAGATGATTTTCACTCATTTGAAACTGAATTTATTGGTTTGGGACTGAATTTCGTTGTATTGAAAATTCAGTTGGACTACTTTCATTTTCAGTTTATAATTCGATTTCAATTCCAAAATTCAAATTTTTTATTTTTTGTGTCGCACATCCGTGTCCTTGAGAAAGCCACGGAGTAATCGAACGCAGATTGACAGATGACGTGAAACGTACAAAAATGTAGGCGTGGGGTTCAGCCTCAAGGAGGCGGTAATGCAACAGAGTGGATGCACTCCGCCGTAAAACACCGCGATGGACCGGATTGAAAAGCAAGAGGAGTCACAGGAAGTATTGGAAAAATAGCAGTTTTATTTTAACCCCAGAATATTGTTTAGCAAAAAATGACTGCTGAGCTCATAAGAGGTCAAAAGAACAAAACTGAACTCAGTCAAAAAAGGGAACAAACTTGCCGCACAAACAAACATAACTGACCTTCTCAAAAAAAAGACACACAGGGATATATATACTGGCTGGTCAGACCATTAAGACACAATGGGGGTAACTAAACAGAATACAATCACTAACTACAACAACCAACACAGTACAACTAAGTGTGATAATAAACTAAACACCAGAAGTAGAAATAAAAAATATTAAACTTTAATTAGAAATATTCACTTAAATACTAAAGCTCTTTTTTAAATAAAGAAAATGCAAGTCCCCCCTCTCCAGCAGGAACTGGTGGTGCAGTCCAATCAGCTCCATGTATTTAAGTGTGCTAAGCCCTGGCCACCATCTTTTGTCTGACAACTCCCAGGGATCACGGCAGGTAAGAACCGGTAAAATAAACAAGAATTAATCATAAGCACCAACAAAAATGAACAATGAGTTGATACAAGTACATAAGTAAACTAAATGTGTGTTCATACAGGTGGAACAAATGTATCCAAACCAACCAATAAACATTTTTATTGCAAACTAAAGTGTTGTGTTTGGATGAAAAATAAATGGTGTATGTAAGATCTAAAAAATAATAATAAGTCTGGTCCTCTGGATGGGTTCAAACAAACAAAAAAGTTTTAGAAACGTTTCATCCGAAAGACTTCTTCTTGGATGCATATAGGCGTTACCGACTTTAGAGTGTGGCCATGGGTTTGGCCATCGCAAACACCAAAGAAGAAAAAGAACTTCCTTTATGGCGTATTTTGAGCTGGAGCAGTGGCGCGCACGTGCGTTCATGCCAAGTTCATGTGCGCTGCACTGCTCCAGCTCAAAATACGCCATAAAGGAAGTTCTTTTTCTTCTTTGGTGTTTTACGGCGGAGTGCGTCCACTCTGTTGCATTACCGCCTCCTTGTGGCTGAACCCCACGCCTACATTTCCGTAAAGGAAGTTTCACTGACGTGAAACGTAAATCTGTCAATCTGCATTGGATTACTCCGTGGTTTTCTCAAGGACCTGGATATATGACACAAAAAAAAAACTGAATTTTGGAATTGAAATTGAATTATAAACTGAAAATGAATGTAGTCTTAACTGAATTTTCAATACAATGAAATTCTGTTTCAAAGCAAATTAATTCAGTTTCAAACCATTCAATTTAGTTTCATTCATTCATTCAATCTTTATTTATACAGGCTATCCCCATTAAGCCACGGGGACTCATTTACAATAGAGACCTGTTCCAGACAGAACATATAAAGTACAGACAACAAAGCGGCAGACAATGACAACAATAAACGACAGTAAAAAATGTACTGTTGTTTACTGTAAATTTAAATTCATTGTAAATTTAGATAAAAATGGCCATTAGTAAAGGGTGTCAGTCCAATTATTCATGATTAATGTTAGCTTTACCAGTTAACAAAAATGTAGACAAATTGGTAGCTTATGGACACTGAAAGATTTCAATTCATTGCAATGTACCAGTGTTACCAATGGTGTTCTTGGTGACTGGTTTCACCGTCCATAAGCCACTATAAAAGTGGTCACGCTCTGTTAGTTTTTTTTTCTTTCTCATTTAACACAGAAGTACCATCTTTTATGTAACTGTCCAAAATATGTTTATTACTGTCCTTAAACGGGCATTCCTTATCTTTGAGATGTAAGGGGACTGCAGAGGGTTGACAGGAAGTACTCGCTCTTCTTTGTTGTGCCATTCGTTTGAGTCATTGTTGTTTGTTTCTATGGTTTGAATCCTTTTTATATGTAACGTTATTTACCTTTTGTTTGGGTATTTTGTCCTGTGGATGAATCTGTTTTTATTTGAAGTAATTTATCCTAAGTTTTATTAGACGCTCCTGTATAAAAAGGTTGTTGCATCTGGTATCCTTTTCTTTTTTTTTTTTTTTGTTCGATGCTGTGGATTGTTTTACCATTTTTCTTTAATTGAACAAATCCCAATTAGTAAATCTGCAGAAATGAAGTGCTTTCTTGAACTGTTCCGATTTTTCTAACTCTGACAAATTTCCTCGAACGAGAAAACATAAAAAAAAGTTAACTTTTTATCATTTTTTTCCTTGACTGTAACTTTTATAGCTAAAAATATCAGTGGGAACTGTTGGCCCTTTGGCGTTTTCACTGTATTGAATCTGGCGCTTCAAAAAAAAAAAACGTGAACATCTCTGCTCTAATCACAGTATGAGGCTGTGCTCTCCAGCCATGTTAAATTGCTTTATCAGGCAATTTCACATACCTCTACTCATCAAAGCTTCAAATTAGCAGAATGTGTAGTGTGTGTATACAGTGACATAAACCCTTGTCAAACCTTTGCCTGATGTCAAGGTTTCACTATATTCTCTCAGTAGAATAGCGTTTTCAGACCGGTATAACAAGCTTGCAAAAGCTTCTGCCAAGGGAAAACAACAGTTACCCATCACAAAATTAAATTTACTCTTTATTGCAGTACAGACAATCGTCTTCACTTTGGAATACAAACAAGCAGGGCACGTTGACAGTAGGTTCATTTGAGTTTTTCTGAATGCAACTTGGTGATCAAACGATGGGGATGACAGTACACCATAAATCAGCCTAACGCTAACCGAGAAACTCATGCCTAGACGAAGAAAGAGGCACATTTTATGTTTACGGCCATACTACCCTACACATGTCTAATCCTAGCTGCTAAGCAGGGTCAAACCTGGTTAGAACTTGGGATGGGAGACCGCCTGGGGATACCAGGTGCCATAAGTTTTGGGGCAGTTGTGGCGCAGTGGTAGGTCAGCTAACTCAGGACCGGAAAGATACGAGCTTGATTCCCCACCATGAGCAAGACGCCTGTTACTTAAGTGCTCCCCAAGCAACCCAAACACTGGTCCACTGCACCACTTTATAGTTCATTTGTAATTGGTCAAATACAGAGCATACAATGACAATGATGCATAGCACTTTCACTTCATCCTAATTTGGCAATGAATGGTTGCTGGCAATGATGAACAAGTTGTGCTTTGCCATGGAAGAGTGAGGAAAGTGGCTGGAAGCTGGTAGATTGGGGGGCAAGCCAGACAATCTGAGGGAAATAAACCCCAAAACAAGAACAGGTTGCAAGAAAAACCTGCTGGTTACATTTGTACATTTGCTATCAAATGAGTATAAGCAATTAGACTGACCGGTCAAATACTGTATCTGTCAGTTCCAAAACTCTTAATGCCATATTCAGTATATACGTAATATTTAAAATACACATCACATGCTCCGCTCGGTTCAGTGTCACCCTACTAAGTTTCCATGACCTACACGACTAATCAGAACTTGACAGGATTGTGACAACTTTTCAACTTGACAACTACCTCCATCCGTGTGACAGCATTATCATAAATGATAAATCTACTGCACTCCAAATAGTATTTATCTTACTCCTCACTAGAATACCTCCATGTCCGCTTCAGCTGCATCCATATATCTTCTCTTTGGCCTTCCCGTTTGTTTTTTCTGGCAGCTGCATTTCTAACATCCTTCGTCCAAACCATGTCAGCGGCCTCTAACTTTATCTCCCATTCGTTCAACCTGTGCTGTACCTCTGATGATTTCATTCCAGTGTTGGTCATTCATAGGGGAAGGTAGAGCCCACCTAAAAAAAATCATTCACCTGACAAAGTAGTTCCTCCTAATAAACAATGGAAATTACTTTTTTATTGAGCTTACTGTGCATTGGTTTGTTCTGTATATTTTTCCAACTATTCTGACAATTTTAAATGGAATTTTAGAAGATTTTTAGATATTCTCAGTTTTTTACTTGTTTACTAGTATGGGGCAGTACTGTTCACTGAACCGTGTTTATTTATTTATTTATTAGTTTATTCGACATGGACAATGTACACGCATATAGAACAGAACAAGTATGTGACTGATGCATTGCACAGAGTATATAGCTATAGCTAATTTGCAACTCCAGTCCCTGGTTGGGCATTTCTACCCATTAAAATACATACAATGTATCAATCAAAATACAGTAAGAATACATACGTATTCATGCCTACATATTCATGTAATCAACCGTACAACTTCAAATATTAAGCTGACCCAAACTTGCCACTAGTGATCCGAACAGGTACGTCCAATAGTTTTATCTGGGGTGGATACATTTGGCTGGTTTAATCATGTATATGTATTATCATTGTATGCGTCCTTACAATGGCAAAATTGGCTCTGCATTTAACCCATCTACCACCAGAGGGAGCAGTGGGCAGCTATGGAAAACTGCCCGGGGAGCAACTGGGAATGAGGTGTCCTGCTCAGAAACACCACAAGATGTGCAATGACCGGGGATCGAACTCAGGACCTTCGTGTCCCAAGTCGGCTGCCCTGCCCCAATACTATCTCGGTCCCCCATTGGCATGAATGCTATTAATCCTAGATTTTACTGAGCTCAGAGCTGCAGTGAAACCTGCTGAGTACAACAGTGGAGATATTCTGTATAAATCTAGACCACGCATAAAACAGAGGACGAAAAAAAGGGGTGGGTGGTGACGATCGCTACCATGGTAGAATCTTAAGTTCTGTGGGGGGGAAAGTGTGCGACTGTGATGGGTCAATGGTTGAGTCTTTGGTTTAGCAATCAGACGTTTGTGGGTTTGAACCCTGCTTGTAACAACTAATAAAATCGGTAATGATATATATTTTTTTGTCTCTTCAATTAAGTATTTTCTCCCATTTTACTGTGTTAATCTGGAGAATTATTTCAGAGTTGTTACTTCAGAATCTACTATACTGTGCACCTGTCGGCTGGTGGTGAGAGGCCTTGTCGTTTTGATTTTTTTTTTTTTAGACCAGACTGTTTTTCATAAGACACAACCTTCACTTGCTGGAGGGAGATAAAAGGCAACAAGTATTGTGCACAAATAAAAAGTAAAAAGACAGAAAAAAACAATAATGAATTAAACAGTAAACGTCATATATCTTGTTTCCGCTTCCAATACTTTCTTCTGTCTTTTTCTCAATGCCACTGTCTCCAGACCACAACGTAGCTAATCATACTACTAACCTTTCTTTTAACCTTTGCTGCCACCCTTTTGTCACAAATCACTCCTGAAACATTTTTGTATTCACTCCATCCTGCCTGGACTCTCATCTTCCATCTCTTTTCTGCTCTTCCCATTTTCCGGAACAGTCAACCCTAAGTACTTGAAGTCCAGCACTTCTGTGACCTCTGCTCTTTGTACCATCACTGTTCTATAGCCTCATTGTTCCATGCCCTTACTGATCCCATTTAGATGAACTCGCATGTAGGTTTTGACAAAACGATTTTATGCCAGATGCCTTTTCCGATGCTGCCTCATATACCTGGGCTTGGGAGACGAGATGCACTGATTTGTTTCCCAATAGTTGGTTTTAAACTTGAATCCACTAGAAATAGGAAATATTCATCTCTAGTATCAAAATTGTCGATGAAAAACATGAAAACTACCGTCTTCAACTGATAAAATAGGTCATCGATATATATTTTTTATTTTCTTAACATAGCAATTTAATTGGTAACAAAACTAATTTGATTGTGTGTTTGTGTGTCTGCTGCAGCTCCTACAGGAGGACCTCGAGCTGGAGCAGGTGAGGGTGAACTCTTTGACCCATATGGTGGTGGTGGTTGACGAGAACAGCGGGGACAGTGCAACGGCTGCCTTGGAGACCAAGCTTCAGGCAAGTAACCATAAACACTTGGATGATGAGAGATGCGTTTTCCTAGAATAGCTTCAAATTTTACAACTTTTTGGGCTGTATTTAAACATCAAACTTTCAGAAGAGTCAATTTAAGATGCAGAATCTAGACGGTGGGGAGTGACTATTCAATGAAGCAGCTTCATGTCACACTTGCTGTTAAAAACTTGATCGGAAACGGGTCTCTGTTTATTCAACAACACCAAAATTCTATTAAAAGAAAGCAGATTGTAAATGAAAGCAAAAAGTAGATAGGACGATATGGCCAAAACTTTTATCACGATATATTTCTTAATTTCGGTCGATAACGATATAATTCCAATATCGATATAAACAATATAAAAAAGCCTCAGAACAACTACAAACTGTACAAATAAATTAATGTTCACCTTTTGTTTGTATTTAGCCTTCAAAGAAATTTGAAATCACCGTCAAATAAACATAAAACTCTCAACTTCCGTTTTTTTCTAATGTGATTCGGGCCACTTCCACTTCCACCACTTCCACTTTGGCCACTTCCGCTTTGGCTTAATGTAATTCTGTTTTTTCAAATGTTGTTGTTTTTGTTGTGTTTTTTCAAATGTAATTCAGTTTTTTTTAAATGTTGTTCATTTACACCTTAGGGCCACCGTACAAATCACTTCCACACCGCCAAATTAGTCTTTCCTCTCTTATCAATTAGGTCATCTACTTCCTCTTCGCTTGTGAAAGCTTGTTCAGTCACATTCTGACGGTCATGGGCACTCATTTTGAAGCGAAACTTACCGCGCCTTTGAGATTAGCCTAGCTTGCTACCGCTAACGCCTTCTGGACTTGAGCTCTGCGTAACATCTACGTCACCACGCACTTGTGTAGTTGTGTTGCAGCTTTTTCTGTTTTGGTTGAAACTGAAGTGGTCGCTTCAACCCAAACAGAAAAAGAAATGTCAGTGAAACGTTGTAATCATATCGAAATATCGAAAATGTGCTTAAAACTCATATCCCCGTTATTGAATAAAAGTATATTGCGGTATATATCGATATCAAATTATTGTCCAGCCCTAGAAAAAAGTTAAATAAACAGTAAATAAAAAAGCTTTTTGTTTTTAAATGACACATTATAAGGGTAGTAAAGGGGCAAAAAAAGTCAGCAAATTTCCAAAAACTTTTCGCAAATTTTTTTAATGGGAATATTCCAAATTGGAAACCTTCTTTTATTTGATCCAAAACATACTTCAACTAATCTGCACAGCTAAAACTATTGTTGATTTAATGCTTATATTTTATTTCCTTTCTGATATTCGTACTCGAGTATTTTATATGGAAACATGTAAATGTTTGGACATAATCAAAGAAACATGTTTCTGCCATCTAGTGGTGGCGAGTAAACAATGATGAAATGTATAACATAATATTTGGAATTTAAAAAAATTATATATTATGTTTAGTAGGGCTGCAACAACGAATCAATAAAATCGATAAAAATCGATGATTAAAAGTGTCGGCAACAAATTTCATTATCAATTCATACATTTATTTTTTTAAGCTATTTGACTAATTTTTATTTTTTATTATTAAATATTTTACTAACAGAATAGTCAAATAGCAATCTGTTTTTTGTGCGATTTGCTATGTCAGTCAAATGTTCAATTTTGGAATAAAGGGGTGGAAATGAAAACTTTTTTTTTCTTTCCGATTCATCAATTAATCGAAAAATAATCGGCCGATGAATCGATTATTGACATAATTGTTAGTTGCGGCCCTAATATTTAGGCTGATGACACAATTGTAACAATCGTGTGTTAAGACTATACATTAAATGTATTTTTTCAATAATATCATCAATGCTAATTTCACTTTAGTTTAGTCCATGAGCTTAAATGTAGAGTTTCAAAAGTTGTATGCTCTCGGCTAAAAAAAAAAGTGGCTTCGATAGAAATCATCAGCACATGTGATGGGGGAATAGTATAGCTATACTCAAGTTTTCTTGCAATAAATCTGTATTTTCAGTTAAGATTATGCTAACAAATATTTTCCCTAACTATTTTTGAACTCCTATTAAGGTCCCATCTTTAGTTTTTAAAATACCTATAGTTTATTTCTATTTATTTACATAAATACCCATAAATTCCAGTGGAAAGTTCCTTGTTTTGAAAATTTCCAGAAATTTGAAACCCTACACATTATCAAGCATGGTCGGGATGATGGATGAGGTCCTTGTGGACTTTTATGTTTGCAGATGACACTGTGGTCTATAGTGAAAGTAGGTAGCAGGTGGAAGAGAGCCTGGAGAGGTGGAGGTATGATATGAGGAGAAGGAATGAATGTCAAAAAATCAAATGGGACTCAACCTATTTACACAGATTGTTTCATCCTCTCTGGACATGCTTGTAAACCACAGAAACATTGTTAAATGTAACTATCATCTTATGGAATACCATTTTGCTGTTATTACTTGTGAAGCCAAATTTCCAAGTCAAAACATATTAAGACTTGTACATGGTTTCAATTTATTATACTGTGTCACTCTCTGAGTATCTACCTTTAAAAGATTGTAGTAATACTGCAATTTCCTCAGTAACTCAAAGAAGTAATAAGCTGATTTCAACCAGCTAGTTCACAAAATGCAAATAAAAAAGGAGCGAGAGTGCATGGGCTTTCTGACAGCGACAGCAAGTCCAGCACACTTTATTTTATGGAATGTACTGTACTCTATTGAACAGGAAACAGCTTTTTCTTTGTTGTCGTGCTTTAATTAGACCTTACCAGTATGCGGTGTTCATTCTGTATACGTTTTTGTTGAAAACCTTGGCGGTTCTGTTTACACAGGGTTTTTGCAGAGTTCAGCCTGGCGCTAACACTTTGCTGTTTTTGTACTATTCCACTTTCCTGTTCACTTCAAAATGTATGAACCTCTGTTGCCTTGTTCACGTCCACACCGTGCAGGGAATAAACGGGGTAAAACTACCACTTTCTTTCTGCAACTGTAATTGCAGCGCGATGCCTTGTGTTGAAGTTCCATCACACTGATGGCTGTCTTTGTTCAAGATTTATTTGTTCAAGTATGTCACTGTCAGACTAATTATTTGTTTTATTGTTTCCGAAATGTTGACTCATAAAGAATTAAATGCTTTTTGTGAGTTTTGTATGTGTGTGTGTGGGACGTTGACACCTTTTTCAGCTAAAATAACATTTAACTTCACCCAAAATGTTTGTTGTTTAACTTAATAACTACGAATATTATTATGTAATTTACACAGTGTCAAATATGTGAAAAATACAATAATAGTAAGCTTCTTGATATTGACGATACATTAAAAAGAACCCTTTTTATATGCCCATTGAAAGATAGAAGTGTTAAGGTATAGTCTCCGTACATCCATACATCAGTAAAAGTTTTCGTGTCTGTGCCATAACTTCTGATCTGCTCAGAGTAATTTAACCAAACTTCATACAAATTCTTACCACCACTAGACGGCGTGTCACATAATTTTGTCATCACCCCAGCTCTAAGGTTGAGGTAACAAGGTTATATTTGATCTTTGCTTATCTGGGCAATTGCTATATTGCTGTATGTATGTACTGTATGTATTGTTTGTCAACAGGCGTATGTAATGCTTTTGTCAAATCAAGTCAACTTTATTTGTAAAGCAGCTTTCAAACAGCAGCTGTTACCAAAGTGCTTAGCAGTAAAATCAATGGGAGTAATTTCATGGATAAAAGTAACAATAAAAATAATGATAGTACTGAAAATGAATTGCGTCAAAAGAAAAACATAGAAACGCAGAGCTGTGAAATGCTAAATCAAGTCGCACTGTGTAAAAAGCCAGAGAAAACAGATGGGTTTTTAGCAGAGATTTAAAAACAGGAAGTGAAGTGGCCTGCCTGATGTTGTGGGGTAGATTGTTCCAAAGTTTGGGGCCCACGACTGAAAAAGCCTGATCACCTCTGAGCTTCAATCTTGCTTTTTGGAACAGCCAAAAGCAGCTGATCAGATGATCTTAGGGCCCAAGAAGGAACATATGGTTCCAGTAGCTCAGAGAGATATGACGGTTCATTAATTAAGGTTCATTTAAGGCCATTAAGGCACTTAATGGTTAGCAGGAGAATTTTAAAACCAATTCTGGTATGTACAGGGAGCTGGTGAAGGGAGGACAAAACTGGTGTAATGTGATCAAACCTACGATAAATAAATAATTACGATTAAATACGATTAAATAAAGTTGTGAATTTGTACTAATATTAAAAAAAGTGAATTTGCACAAATAAATGTGTGAAGCACTTCTACAGCAAGTGTCCTGACTTATTCGGTGCTAAATTAAAGGAATAGTCCATTCAACTTTGAACTGATGATTTGTCAAATAGTTATCAGTAGTCAGTATCTTCTAAGAAACAAGGCTAACTGTTTAAACTTTGAAAATCATTAAGACTGAATGGTAACTCTAAATTGTCCCAAGATATCTCGTTTGTCTCTGTGTCCCTGTGATGGACTTGCGACTTGTCTAGGCTGACCCCGCCTCTCGCACAGTGACTGCTTGATTTGGGCACCATTGACCCCATGACCTGGAAAGGAAGTGGGTAAAGATGATAGATGGATAGATGACGTTTTCATTAAGGTTAGGCTACTGGCTAGCCTGACTAGGACCCTTTTTAAAAAAATACATTTTCGGATTTATAAACCAACTCTTTCTTAAAAATAACATACTGGAGTGAAAGTATCAGGTCTCTCTTATAAATGAGTCCTCAAGGCTCAATGGGATTTACCTGTCTAAATAAAGGTTGAATGAAAAGTATGTTACATGTTATTTAACGGCTAACAATGGTGTACCACAAGGCTCAGTCTTAGGACCCACCTTCTTCACAATCTACATAAGTAATGTAGGTCAGAGCATCCCTGATTCATCCTTACATTTTTATGCTGATGTCGAGCCAAAACAGTTGCCAAGGTTTTCCAGCTTTTGCAATCTGCTTTTGACATCATCCAGCCAGATTTGGTCTGACTCAAACTTGTACTGAATGCCGGCAAAACCAAAGTGATGTTGTTTTCAAACAGGAAGTCGGTCCCAGCAGTCCTTCCCTCGATTTTATCTTCGAATGGTGTTCCTATTGAGTTTGTCGATTCCTACAAATACTTGGGTATTTTGGTCGAATCACATCTCTCTTTTAAGCTTCACGTGGAAAACCTAGTAAGGAAACTAAAAGTTAAATTTTTTTTTTTTTTTCAGAAATAGATCCTGTCTAACTCTGAATGCTAGGAAACACCTTGTGACTGTGACTTTCCTTCCCTCCATTGATTACGGTGACATTATTTACATGAACGCCCCTACAAACGCCCATCAGATGTTGGACACTGTCTATCATGGTGCAATAAGATTCATAACTGGGTGTAACCACCGCACCCACCACTGCACCCTGTATTCACTGGTTAACTGGACATCATTAACTTCACACAGACTCTCTCACTGGTACATTTTCATCTTTAAATCACTTCTTGGTCTGCTGCCTTCATACATCTCCTCCTTCATGTCACTGCGTGAGTGCAGCTACAGCGTGCGCTCCCAGGACATTATTACCTGCAGTGTCCCCTCAGTAAGGACTGAACTAGGCAAAAGCTCCTTCTCCTTCTCTGCTCCTGTTTCCTGGAATATCTTGCTAAAATATCAGACGCTCTCAACCTTGATCTCTCCAAGTGGCTTCAAACATCTGTTAAGTTCCTGGGAAAAACCAACGACATGTTCCTGTTTTTAGTTTTCGCCTTACATTGTAGCCGTTTTTATTTTGTTTTTTTAACATTCTTTCATTTATTTTTCTCAATTCATATGCTTTCTTTTATGATTGTGTACTGTTGTCATTGTTGTCTACTATTGTCATCATTCTTTGTTAAAAACAGGTCTCTCTTGTAAATGAGTCCTCGAGGCTCAATGAGACTAACGTGTGTAAATAAAGGTTGAATGAATTGGCTAGTAACAACCCTCTTTACAGTTTTAGTTTGCTGCTGTGAGGAAAGTGTAGAAGTTTAATATTAGCTAATGTAGCGTTCTTCCAAACCAGTATTTTGTTTTTGAGCTATGTAAATTGTAATCACAGTGAATGAGATAAACTTACGCAATTTCTTATGACACATTTTTTACTAATTATAGGTTAAGCTGACGTTCTTTCCTGCAGTGCTATTCAATACGTAAAACAAGATTAACAAACAAGATAGATGAAAAAAATACAATGTGTACCATGGTGTAGAGTCAAATGAAGCTGCCTTTCCTGGTTCCTCCCTTGCTGTGAAACTGTCACTTGCTTAATTAAAGATTAGTCATCTTCAGATAAACCTGCTGTGCCTCTTCCTCTACATCTGCCTCTCGCTAATCTTTCACCCCTTTCAATGATTATTTATTGATTGGGTTTCATTGTCTTTTCATTGTTGTACTCTATCACTGCTAATTCTCTGTTTTCAAGTGATTTAGTTTAGTGAATATATCCAACATTTTTCAGTCAGGTCATCCGGACGGTTTCCTTTTTAGTGCTGAAACGTTTCGCCTTCGATCCGGAAGGCTTCATCAGTCAAGGAAACGCACAACAAAACTGATTCTTCCCCCAACAGCTTACTCCAAAGTGGAACAAACCGGTTATGTTGGTGCTAAGATGGCCTCTTTGTCACGCCCCCTCCTCCATTGCCGGCCGTCTTCCTTGTTGACAGTCGTGTCAAACTAGTTGAAAACAACAAAGTCCATGCTCAATAATCCAGATATACACGTCTGTCAACAAGGAAGAGGGCCGGCAATGGAGGAGGGGGCGTGACAAAGAGACCATCTTAGCACCAACATAACTGGTTTGTTTAGTGGATATAGTTTACGTCTGGTATTTATTCAGAACAGAAAAGTGTATTTTCCATTTTACACTGCTGATAGTCAATTATCGTATTTTCCGGACTATAAGTCCTACTTTTTTTAATTGGTTGGCCAGTTCTGCGACTTATAGTCCGAAGTAAATTATATACTTTTTTTTTCCCCTACTCATAACACAATTTTTGACTGACAAGTTAAATGTTCATTCATACTGACATGAACCAAAGAGTAAACATTACCATTTGCAGCCATGAGAGGGCCCTCTAGGCTTTTGACAACTACCTGTTCCAGTATATGTTGTTCCACTAACACCATCTACCCTAAACATTCACTTAGAGACAACTGAGAAAAACTACTAAGTACAATGCCCCTAAAAGTGATGTGGAATGAGACTGGTGAATTTACCGGTAACTTGCTTGTTGGATTCATTGGCTTGTTATGTTAATTAAGCGTGTTCAGGATCCCAGGTGTGTTCTGTGTGTTATTGTTATTTCAGATTAAATGTCTGTTCTTGCACTTTGTGAAATACACTTCTAAATAAATGTGACTTATATGCCGAAGCGACTTAAATATTGTTTTTTCCTCTTCATGGGGCATTTTTTGACTGATGCAACCTATACTCTGGAACAACTTATAGTACACAAAATGCGGTAGTTGATGCTGCCATATATATGTAAACTTTGTCAGCTGGATAACTTGAAAAATAAGCAAAGGGTCAACTTCCTTTGGTATGTAGCTACAGCTACATGTAAGAAAGGTTGTTTAGTGGGTTGCCACATCAAAATTCAAAATAGCCATCTTTATAAAATTTATAATTATATATATATTTATTTATATATATATATATTTATTTATATATATATATATATATATAT